CATCAAAATTAAACAAAATAAACATCTGAAATATATGAGTTTGTATGTAATGTATGAATATAATATACAAGTTTCACTTTTTAAATGGAATTACTGAAATCAATCTACTTTTTCATGATATTCTAATTTTATGACCAGCACCTGTAAACATTAAAAATTGTTACTTAGAAAGAAAAAAGAAATGTTAATATTAATAAAGATGATCCATAACAATTATTTACAGTAGCAAAACTATCAGGTTTTACATTTTCTACAGGACCTTTAAGAAAACATGGGTTGTGTTATGTCTTAATTTATCTCATGAACTTTGTGTTTTTGTAAACACCACCTCACTGGTCAAAAGGGCACAAAAGCACTTGTACTTCCTGAGGAGGATGAGGAGAGCCCACCTGCCCTGACCCATCCTCACGACCTTATGCAGAAGCACAATAGAGAGCATTCTGACCAGCTGTCTTACTGTGTAGTGTGGGGACAGAAGCGACGTAGACTGGAAGAAGGTAAGGAGAGTGGTGAGAACTGCAGAGAAGATCATCTGGGCTCCTCTTCCCTCCATAACAGACATTTCATCTCGGTGTTGTGTGTCCCGAGCCTGTACAATTATAAATGACCCCTCACACCCCCACCGTGGACTGTTCTCCCTCCTGCCCTCTAGGAAGAGACTTTGAAGCATTGGTTGCAGGTCCAGCAGATTCAAGAACAGCTTCTTCCCCACTGCTATTAGACTGCTGAATGTTAAATAAAACAAAAAAAAAAAAAATTATGAATGTTGGAAAAACTGTAAATCATATCTTAGTATTATGTTTACATTTGATCACCATGTTTACATTACATACATTTACATTTTATCACTGCTGCACTTTATGAAATGGAAATGTCTTGAGAGCTGTACTGAACAAAATCTTGTTTTGTATACACCCTGTGCGTACAAAGTAACAATAATGTTTGTCTAAGTCTATGTACTTCTCTGCAGCACCACATTCCTCATGTCTGTGCTCTGACACTGATTTTGACATGCTGTGTTTGTGTTCTAATGCTTCCTTGCAGGCTGTAGTTCATGGACCTGACATGATCCCTGGCTGGGATAACATGCTAAATTTGGCAGAGTACCTGGTGTCACTCAGTCAGGCTCTCTACCTAGAGCAGCAGCAGGTCACAGAGGTCATCCCCCTGTGGTCTGCCATTCCTGATGTGGAGCAGAGAAGGATCCACCACAAGCCCAGGCACTAAACCAAGCTGGTCCAGCGACAGCGTGAAGAGGTGTCTGATTGGTCATTCAAGGGGTCCTGCCCATTGGCCCAGCTGCTTTGTGGAGGCCATGTGCATCAAGCTGTGCTCGCTGCACAGGTCTCTAAAAAAGAAGACTGGAGTCCGGCTTCCTCGTGGACAAAATTGCTGAGTGATTACCACCACATCAGAGACCTGGTGCTGAATCGCCACTCCCTAATGGAGGCTTCTTGTCTGCAGCTTCTCCTGAACCAGAGGACCCTTACCCAGTGGTATGAAGAACAGTTTTGATAAAGCATCTGGAACAAATATGTTGTAGTTAATAATAATGATGACAACTTTCTGATTGCAGGTTTAATCGAAGGGAGAGTAGCTCCGAGATAAGTGTCTTCACCCTGGGCATTGCTGTGTTCCTGCTCCTGAGGAATGGCTTATCCAAGCTCTTTCCACCTCAGGGCTCCAGCACGAGTTTGTCCTCCCTCCAAATAGAGCTGAACAAGCTCCGAATCTTCGCCCAGGCAGCTGACCAGCCATCACCCCAGTAGGTTCTTCTCCTCCTCTCCCAGCTCCTGTGCCACCACTGCAGTTAATTCTGGGGAACCCTGGATTAACAGTGACTGGTCACCCATCAGCTGCTCCTGCCCTGGTTTTACCTGCAAAAACAGTGACCGTGCACCCACAGCCTCTGTGTCCCGCTCCACCCAGAGGAACAGGTGGCGCAGGGCAGAGGAGACAGGTAGCATTTAATAAGTGTACTACATGTTAATAGTGCACTTATTTTAGATAGATCTTGTGTTCTTTACTCTTTCTTTGTGAATAAATGCTGTTGTTATGTTCTGATTTGTTTGCTCTGCTTTTAATAGCCTTGATTTGAAGTGTTTAAAGTTAACTTCACTGATACCAGGGTCTCTTTAAAGCACAACAGCTGATGTTTGAACTAAAGGCTCCTGCTGAAGCTCAGATGGAGGTCAGGGTAGGTGATGGTCTTCAGATTAACTTTGACCTCTCCTGGTGTTGGAGCCTATTAAGAATTAGATTAATTTATCTTTTGCAAAATTATTAATGTTAAAGAGCTAAGGTTATGTGAATGGTAGAGTTATTGTTTATTTGTTTATGTATTGGTTTTGCTTTGACCCTCCTCCTTGTCAGTCCGCCTCCTGCTGAGATTAACAAGTAGAAGCAGCTGATGAGGTGGATCTGATTGTTTGTTTGAAGGAGTGAGGAGTGCAACAGTTTTTTCACACACATCACTTAGCTTTATATTTGAATTTTTGTAAGTCAACTCTGAGAATATTTCTGTTATTTTTTATTAGTAAAGAAAAACTCCCTTATTTTGAAACAAGAAAATTCTCCACGAGTGCTTTTTGTTTTGTGAGTCGAAAAACCTCCTCCTAAGACTACTCTGGCAATTTTTGATTTTTTTGGAAACTTTTTTGATGCAAGAGTAGCCGCAACACCTGGATTTTATGAATCCAATCTTTGCTGCAAGTTAAACATCAAAAGCAGAGCGCAGTTACACTGTTGTTACATTAATGAAAGCTAGTAGGTGTATATACAGTTAACATAATTGTTATTATACAGATTTGTTAAGGTTTATTGAAACCTTCTGTATACCTGTACTAGAATAAATGATTAAATTCAATCTTATTTAAAAGTTAAAATGGGCACAAACCATTAACTATCACATATAAATATCATTATTTTGATATGTGTTATTAATGCCAGTATCTCTTTATATTTGTAGGTTTTTTGTATATGTAGATAGCACTTGTAATATTAGGGCTTTAAGTGCCATATATCTCCACTAATAAATTATCTATATTGGACCAACAGGTAACATCATAAGCTACAAAACAAATCAAATGATCAAAAAGTTCTAGATATATTTTCACTGTAATAGTTAATAAAATACAATATGTAAAAACCTATAAACTATACTGGACACATCATGTGCTGTTGGACAATTTAGAACCACTTTAAAATACTGTGGCCATAACAAAACATCTATACATACAACCAATTTAAAAGAAGCTACCTTAATTAAGTTTTCAAAATCAAGCCATGATTAAAAAATCACATTCAAACACATTTAGAAATGTGTTTAATACTTCCGGACAGAAAACAACTACTTCCTCATCTGCTTGCCTTCCAATCATCAGAGCACTAAGAGGCTGAACTGAGAATAACATTGCAACCTGGGAGTTTCTTTGCATTTCAATTAACTAAAGGTGTACAAATACTGTATATATATATATATATATATATATATATATATATATATATATATATATATATATATATATATATATATATATACATATATACACACTCAAAGGGTTACAATTCAATTAATTATTTTTATTTTTTTGTTCTTTTTCTTTTTGTAATGTTTAATGTCCTACCAGATAGACCAACAAAAAAATAAACATCAATCTTGTCCACACACCCCTGGAATAGTTTATATATTTATAAAGGACCTCTGGAATCCTTTTAACCATGGTGAATCTCTTCGGTTAATATAGACTTGAAAAAAATAAACTTTTAGTCAAAACAACAACATTAAGGATATATCACTCATTGAACACTCACATCAAACCAGACTCAACCAAAATTTCTTTTATTTTAAAATATTATATTCTTTTTGGATAATGTCATATTCATAGGCGTCTATGAACCTTAACACACTTTTTTTTCAAGGTGGAAATGAATCTTGAACAGTTTAACTGATGTAAAAGGCATGAATACTGTGATTTGGTTTTGTGCCTTACAATATTTCTATTTTAAAATATTCAACATGTTACCCACCCCTCCTGGCAATTTTCTCATTAATTATATTTGGCTTGAATTGTATTCCTTCATTTAACAAACATCATCTTTATAAGTCTTCAGTTTTTCAAGTTATTTACCTCATTGTATTTATTTTCTATATTGATAATAAATACACATTTTTTCTGAGGATCTTTTCATGAAAGACAAGGATATGTTAACATGTAAACCATATACTTGAGTAGCAAACCATGCTCTGCACAGAACTGACACAGCTGCTGTAGGAAAATCAACTCATGTCCAAATCCGAACAGATTCCTAGATGCAAGTCCAATGAATATCTGTTGATTTGAAGAGTTTCTAATGCTCCATCGAGGAACAGCTTTTCTCCGGGATGTTGAAGTTCCAATACAACTCCAAATAGTCACCTCTATTTTTGTTTAATCTGTCATATTATTGGCTATACCTGCTTATACTATGTTCGAATCTACATAAAAATGAAATCTAATTCTTGTATGAAGCTTATCAAAAAGTCATCAATTACACACACAAAAGAAATACTTTACCAGCCACTTCTTGTAGATATTTCTTCAGTGCAATAGGCCTAGTTGCTAATTAATTTTGCAAAGGGTTTCTTTGTAAAGAAAGATTTTCCCCCACTGTTGCACTGCATCTACAAGAGTTAAACTAATGAATATGTTGCAATAACATACTGTTATCTAAATGACAAAAATTAAGAGCAGCACTCATTTAGACAAAGAGGTTTTGTGGATTGCTTAAAATAATGACATTTATTTTGAGTACCTCTAAAAAAGAAGATAGGGAGTGAATTGATGTCATCTAGTTTACTCTTTCAACACAGACTAACCTGAAGTCTTAAAAAGAGCAGTTTGTTTTAAAACTATTCCACTCAAAGCGAAATTTACTTCAGAACAAAAAAAAACAAAAAAAAACAATGCTAATTATCAAGTTATACATGATGATGAAAAATCAAAGAGACTTTAGTGTTTTTATGTTTTATTTTATAATTCACAGACCACAGCATATAACTAACACACGTTCTACATATTTCACTGTGAAAGTAACACTGGAATTACAATATGTTTGATTGAACACATTGAACTTTCTAACTAGAAAACCAAGCTGTACTAAAGAGTTTGACAAGATGGTTGTTGTATTCTTGCAGAGACAGGCTGACTTAAATCTGATGGCACATAATTCGGTTCACATTAAAGAGGCTTAAAAGCCCTACATTGATGATACAAATGTATATTAATAAACAGGCATATGTTTCAGCTTACGTCTGCTGCATGTAAGTGAATTGTTTCCTCTGTAAAGTGACACGTACAATTCAGTAAAATACATAAAACTTCCATTGGATAAAAAAACAAACCAAAACAGGTATAGTATGCTGTTTGCATTTTGTAAATTAACAATCAAGGTTTGTCATGTTGCACCACTGAAAATACTGAAATTATGCAAATTTTACTGAATGGATTACAAAATCAACTAAAAAAAACAAATTCATTACCATTTCTAGCATTATATACAGTTAATACAAGAACAAATCAGGTTGTTCTTTCACGTTCACTCACTCAATGAGACCTCAAGACACCTTTAATAATGTTCAAGTAGCCAAAACCTTCAGATATGTTAAGATTGAAATTTGAAGTCATGGGAAAGGGTATACGTGTGTATTTCTCTTGTAAGGAAGCAAAGGTTTATTGAAACTGCAAATTTACTCTTTTATAAACAGAAAGAACCGAAGGACATTATGGCTGAAGTCCTCAGTCCTGTTCATTTGTGCTTATGATGGACGTGACACTTTAATACATTTAAGCTGGACTAACTCATAAAACATTAGTACCAAACATAACTTAGAAAGAGGCTAACGCTAATTTATTAAATCTGATTTCTTTGCATTAATATTTGCTTTTCTTTCAATTTTTGGGACATTTAGTTATTTGTGCATCACATCATTTTTCAGGTTGCTTATATAATACACTTTGTATGGCGCAGAAATGGGCACAATGGATAAAACTTAAGTACCCAACATGTGCTTCCTTCTAAAAAAATGCAAAAAGTCCATGAAAGGCATTTCAGCGTTCCTGTGTCCACTCTTGGAATAATTTTTGTGTCTTCTGTACATACTTAGAAATAGATACCATGTTGCAGTCTGCTTATTTGTCAGTACCTGGTCTAAAAATGTTTTGAATGGCTGTTTTTTTTTTTTTTACACAGTTGAAGCCATGCATTATATTCATGCATATAGGTATGGACATCAGATCTGCGTATGTGCTCAAACAAAGAGGGAGTGCATGGGTATGTTCTCTGGTAAATTTCATTTGAGTTGCATAATGACTGCACACGATAAGGAACAGGAGCAAGACAGAGGATGGCATTTACGTAGGTACGGATATCAAAAAGCAGTTCCTCTTTTCTTCAGTGATGTGTTTGCTGTTGTTATGGATCCTATCCACAGCTGAAGGACTGGGATTACTTAGAGCTGCTGCTGCTTGCAGTAGAGGCCTGTCAATGAGACGACAGAATTAGACAATTTTGGAAAACGACCTACAGCAATGAGAGCCTTGTGGTTCACCAAACTGAGATACGTCATGCAGCTGACTTCTTTAGTTGAGACAGGGGCCGCAGGCAAAGGGTACAGTGGGTGAAAGGAAACTAGGTCGATACTTGAACATGTATGTAGGATATGAGAGAACTGTTATTGAACATCATGCACCAAAATAACATTAAGGAGAGTGGTTGCTAGGTAACTGAGTTCCTGATTTCTGTTAGCACATTTCCTGGACAAAAAATAAATAGGTCACATCTAAGACAGGAGACAATGTCAGTCATGCTCTGAAGTGTCATCCTGTAAAGAGGACAGAAAAGGTAATTCCCATTCCTCTTATAAATTAGTGAAAAACAGGTTACACTCCTAAAATATCAATGATTTATCAGAAAGTGGTATGAACAGATTGATATTCACATGCACAGAATCAAAATGGTGATTAAATTAAGGATACAGATATTGACTAAATAAAAAATTATAGCATTAAAACTCAGATTGCATCTGACGAATGTGTCAGAATCAGATATGATTTTCATTTTTAGATAAAGACTAGAGTGCAAAACTCCTGCTGTTTCCAGACATCTCTATGCTTTGCCTTTTAGAAGCCAACTTTTCTTGCATCTTTTAAATTGTCTTAATCAAAATTTTCTGGACTTTCTCAGGGTTTTTATTTTTACAATTTTGTTTGGCCAGTGGTGGAGTGTCCCCTCATTTGATGCTCAGTCACTTTTGCATCTGAACATTTTCAGAGGCTTTTATTTACCTCATTATTAAGCTCACTAATACAAACATAGAAAATAATTAGGAATACAAGACTCCATACAACAAATATCACAAAAAAGCTAATTTCAGTTAGATGGGTTTTTTTCCCCCGTCTTTTTCAGGCATTTTTCCACAAAGTAGTGAAATTATCATTCTTTTAAAGCCAATTTGCTCCCGTTTCTTGAAATGAATCTATGAAAACTACAAACATAACAGAGTTAAAAGATATATAGTAACTTCGTCCCAACATGACAATTCCAAACATTTTCTTTTTTTTTAAGACATGGATTTTAGGCAAAGATTTCCCAGGTGTAGATTTTTTTTTTCTTGTTGAAATTATATATCATGTCACCCCTTTTGCTCTAAATATGAACCTTCTTTATTTTCAACATACCAGTGAGTAATACTTTAGACAGCAAATATATATAAAGTCCCAAGATGAAAAACTACAAAGATGCAGATATAACTACTAAGATGAGTTGAAAACATTAAAAGAAAGTTTGACTTCATTCCTTGTCTATGACACTCCTTATAAATAAAAGCATTAAAGCGACAAAAATAGTTTCAAAACAATTAATTTGAATCATCATATTTGTTTAACTGTCTGAACAAAAGTCAGTTATTATATTTGAATGTGGTTCATGGCAATAACTTCTTATTTGAAGTTGAAAAACTTCAAATAAGAAGTTGAAAAAGGGGTTTTAATTGGGTAATTTAAGTTTCTGGCTTTTTAGTATTCAATTATGAAATATAATTAGTAACAAAAATTAGTAACAATCAACAAACCATGCATCTTAGAAGCTAAAGAAACCTGACACACTGTAAACACATTCTTGTTCAAAGCAATCCAACATCAAAACACAAAGCCTAATAAAGAAAAAATATACCCACTGAAAAAAAAGAGAAACAAGAAACAGTTAAAACGCCATAAATACGGCAACTTATCCATGTTCTGGAGCAGGAATTCTGCATACCTCCATCTGCTGAGCGGACCTTCCTCATTTAGGGTACTTTAGAATGAGGAGAAAGAAAACAAGGATTTAAAGATTAGGTCTTTGGCATCAAAAATACATATATTTTCAGGCAATTATTTTCTAAACAAAGAATGGGATCAAAACGAGAAAAAGGACCAAAGAGATTTGTGAGTCCTGCAGAAAACATTTTGGAAATAAACAGATAAACTTATTACAGTAGATCAAAATATCAGCTGCTTGG